AGCCACAAGAAGCAATCATTGCACCCACTTCAGAAAGGCTCAAATTAAATATTCTGACAGTTCTCTAGCACTGGAGTGTTCTGCACATGTACCAATTGTGGGAATGTAAGTTAGCGAGGCTCCTTGGCACTGCTGATGAAGGCTGAATATACCCACACCCTACGACCCAGAAATTCCTCTACCTGAAATGTTCACGCATGCACGAGAGAGAGAGAGAGAGAGAGAGAGAGAGAGAGAGAGAGAGAGAGAGACTCTCTGTGTGTACATGATGAGAACCAAACCACCAAGTTGTTCACAATAGCACCTCTTGCTGTATGGACCCTCAACTGGAAACAACAATCTCTGTGTGTGCTTATTTGTGTCGTATTTCAATTAAAAAAAAAAACCAAAAAACAAAAAACCTGGGCACAGTGGTGCATGCCTGTAATCCCAGTGGCTTGGGAGGCTGAGGCAGGAGGATCATGAGTTAAAAGCCAGCCTCAGCAATTTAGTGAGGTGCTCAGCCACTTAATGAGACCCTGTCTCTAAATAAGATACAAAAAGGGCTGGGGATGTGGGTCCGTGGTTAAGTGCTCCTGGATTCAATCCCTGGTACCAAAACAACCAACAACAATTTTACTTACCAAAAAAATCCTACTATTCTTTCAGCCTCAGTGGTGCTGAGGATCGAACCCAGTGCCTCAGGCATGCCAGGCGAACGCTCTTCCACTGAGTCCCTGCCTCAGCCCTATTTTTAAATTTTTATTTGTTTCAACTAGTTATACATGACAGCAGAATGCAGCATAAATTTTCATTCTCTGGTTGTTCATGATGAGGAGTCACACCACTCGTGCAATCATACACCAACCAAGGGTAACGATGTCTGTCTCGTTCTACTATCTTTCCTACCCCTTGACCCCCTCTTCTCCCTTCACTCCCCTCTGTACAATCCAATGTTCCTCCACTCTTCCCTAGACACCCCCTCTCACATTGTGGGTCAGCATCCACATATCAGAGAAAATATTTGGCCTTTGGTTTTTTGGGATTGGCTTATTTCACTTAGCATGATAGTCTCCAGCTCCATCCATTTACCTGCAAATGCCATAATTTTTATCATCTTTTAAGGCTGAGTAATATTTCAGTGTGTGTGTGTTTGTGTGTGAGAGTGTGTGACATTTTCTTTTTTTTAATATTTATTTTTTAGTTGTAGTTGAACACAATACCTTTATTTTATTTATTTATGTTTATGTGGTGCTGAGAATTGTGCGAGGCGAGCCCTCTACTGCTGAGCCACAACCCCAGCCCCTATATGCCACAATTTCTTTATCCATTCATCTGTTAAAGGCATCTAGGTGGGTTCCACAGTTTAGCTATTATGAATTGAGCTGCTATAAACATTGATGTGGCTGTGTCACTGTAGTATGATGATTTTAAGTCCTTTGGGTATAAACCGAGGAGTGGGGGTTCCACGCCAAGTTTCTAAGGAATCTCCAGACTGCTTTCCACAGTGATTGTACCAATTTGCTGTCCCACCAGCAAAGAATGAGTGTCCCTTTTCCCCCACATCCTCGCCAACACTTATTGTTGTTTGTATTCATAATAGCTGCCATTCTGACTGGAGTGAGACGAAATCTTAGAGCAATTGTTTTGATTTGCATTTCTCTAATTACCTAGAGATGGTGAACACTTTTCCATATGTTTGTAGATTGACTGGATTTCTTCTTCTGTGAAGTGTCTGTTCAGTTCATTAGCCCATTTATTGATTGGGTTATTTGTGGGTTGTTGTTTTTTTGTGTGTGTGTGTATGTGTGTGTGTGTTTTGAGTTCTTTGTATATCCTGGAGATCGGTGCTGTATCTGATGTGAGTGTGATGAAGATTTTCTCCCACTCTGTAGGCTCTCTCTTCATGTTATTGATGGTTTCCTTTATTCAGGTTCTTTTAAAATGCCCTTTTATTAACATTCACAAAATCACAAGGTCTCTGGGATACCCGTAATCGAAGGTAACTCTATTTTTCTCTGATTTCACTTCCCTCTTTGGAATCAATCTTTCTTTCTTTCTCTCTCTCTCTCTCTCTCTCTCTCTCTCTCTGTCTCTCTTGTACTGGGGGTTGAACCTAGGATGCTCTACTCTGTGTTAGTCAGCTTTTTCACTGCTACGACTAAAAGACCCGACCTGCACAACTGTAGAGGAGTACAGTGTATTTAGCGGCTCACCGTTTCACAGGTCTCAGTTCATATTCAGCTGGCTCCATTCCATGGGGCCCAAGATGAGGCAGAACATCATGGTGGGTGAGCGTGGCAGAGGGAAGTGGCCCATGGGATGACCAGGATGCAGCGAGAGACACCACTTATCAGATACAAAATATATACCCCTAAGCCACGCCCCAATGCCCACCTCCTCCAGCCACACCCCACCCACCTTCAGTTACCACTCAGTTAACCCCCAGGGATTAATTCACTGATTGTATTAATGCTCTCATAACCCAATCATTTCTCCTCTATAGAAACCCTCTTGCATTGTCTCACACATGAGCTTTTGGGGGACACCTCCCATCCAAACCATAACAACCCCTGAGCTGCATCCCCAGCCCTTTCTATTTTTTAAATTTTGAGACAGGGTCTTGCTCAGATACTGAGGCTGTCCTTGAACTTTGATCCTCCTGCCTCAGTTTCCTGAGTCCCTGGGGTTATAGACCAGCTCCACGGGGCCTGGCTTTTGTGGACTCTTTTGATGACTTGACCTGGTTTAGGAACATCTATATGGGAAGAGCAAGAGATTGGAGACCAGCCACTTCCCAGGTGGGTGACCACGAACAGGTGTCCCCCAGTGATAGGGTTATTAGCTACATGCAGCAGGAATTGATTGTGTTGATTTAAGCAGAACCGGAGACCAGAGACCAGAGAAAAGCTTCAGAGCTCAGAGCCAGGTGTTGATGCCTAAACTCACTCTAAGGCACCGTCAGTACCTGCACCATTGCTGCTCTTGCTGGGCCCAGCCCACAGAGCCACCCCATGGACACGGGGTCTGGACCCTTGATAATGCTGCAGTGCGGCCACTGGAACTCCTGAAATAGTGCCACAAACCTGCCACCAGGGCAGATTCTGCACAGTTCCTGTCCCTTTGTGTGACCAGCTTTTAGATTCAACACTAGGACAGGAGTCCGGTTGGCAGAGCCTGTGCTACAGACCTCCTCTCTAGCTGGGAAAGTGAGTATCCGACCGTCTCAGCTTTTTTTTTTTTTTTTTTTTAGCAGAAGGTGACCTTGATGCGTAGAGGATTCCCCAAACAGGACAGTGGTCACCAAAGGCATGATAAGTGCCCACTGCATCACCCAAGGACAAGTTACCGCCCTAAGCCTGTTTCCTCATCCATAAATGGGGCTAATGGCGGATCCTACGGGTGGGACTGATAAAGGGGCAAAGGAACTGTTGGGTGTGAAAGGCCTCCCCTGTGTTTGGCACACAGCGGGACGTTATTTTATGGTAAATATCATTATTGGTGATTTGATTTTCTTTTCCTAATGTCCTATAGTCCCTGAGGTCCCCAAACTTTGGCATCTCGATGCCTCTGGTTTCTATCTGCAGGCTGTGAAATGGGGTTCCACTTGTCATATCTGAGCACATCGACACGTTTTGTGACTCACAGAAAGGTCTGTTGAAGGGGACTGCCTTTCCCCTCAGTGGTCAGAAGTCTGTGAAAGAGTCCAGAAGTTCCCCAAAAACCTGATTTACATTGTCAGGGAAAGGCGGTTTTTGGAAGAGACACTTGTTAGCTCTAAATATCATTGGAATTAACTCAACACATGTTGGATTTAAACTTTTTATTTATTTTTAATTTTTTTCTTTCAGCATTTAATACCTTTTCTTGACTCAGTAGCCAAATAAGGGAACATCTACTCAGTCAAGCAAGGCACCTCGTCAGAAAGGAAATCCAGAACGGTGATGCAGGGTCCCGGGTGACAGGGTGCTCCTAGCACCTGCAGAGCAGGGACCCCGCCTTTATGTACATGGTGGTACCTCAGCCTGTCCTCAGGAGCCCTTAAAGGATGCTTCCTGAGTCATTTGCATGAGTTAAAAACAAGACCCTCAAATCCTTTTATTTGCTTCCTCTTCACCACCCTGTCCCCCTTCTCTCCTCCATGTCCAAACCTCCATTTAGCGAAACACAGCGGGGTGCAGCTCAGGGGGAGCACTTGCCTAGCCTGTGCAGGCGCTGGTTCCACCCCAGGTGGCAATAACAGCAAAACCAGACCTGGAGGAGCCTGGCCCCAGGGAGACCCCACTGGGGAGAAGAGTAGGGTTTAGGCCTCAAACATTCCAAACCTTTTTTTTTTTTAGCAGAAAATGTTGAAGGGAGCATACCTGTTTGGGACTTGAGCCCTCCAAGAAATGACTTTGTCCTGGCTGGGTGTCCTTCCCCCCTGACCCTAGGGTCTCAGCAGTGAATGAAGCAGGAGGCCTGAGAGCTGGACGGCCTCAGAAAGGCTGTTGCCAAAACGGCTTTGCCCCTGCCTTCAGCTTGGAAGCTAGGCCCTGGGCTCCATGTAACCACAGACAAGCCTGTCCCCCGTTCAGCTTACAGAGGGATCTGTGCTTCTTTGGGTCGGGATGGCAGGTCAGAGTGCTATCACAGAGAGGGACCTGGTTTTGAGTCCTGTCTTTGCAACTCCGGCTGTGTGACTTTGGACAAATACTGATTATTTTTGAGTTGGAAATGTTCACGTGCAAATGGACAAAATAATACCTTCCAGGGCTTTTGGGAAAACTAAACCATATGGGCTGATTCATGTGAAAGCACATTACAGAGTACTTGGTACTGACAGATGTTGTGACATAGAAGGAAGAAAAGATGGTGGATAGTCTCCAGAGCTATTCAAAGGAGTATTTTTATAGGGAGATAAATGACCTGTGTGACCTGGGCCAGTCCTCTTACCCCATTGCCAGTCAATTTCAAAAGATAATTCTAACCCCAAGAGGGAGAGGAGACTCCTAGATCTTGAGGGTAAATGTCACACTATGTCACTTTGTATGACACAATATTTATTACCTTGTTTCCAAGATGTCATCAATTATAAGATGTATAATTGAGTCAAAAGGACAGAAAGAATAAAAAAAGAAATGGGGGACCCACCCACTGTAAGACATGTTCTGATTTCAGGATCATTAAAACATAACCAAACCTATGTTCGTACATCATTACCCAACACCATCAGTAATTATGCTGGTTCCCATTTGCTAATTGTCTACTGGGGGCCAGGCGCTGTACTCAGGCTGCTTTACTGGGTCTTTGACTCCCACCAGGCAATTATTTCCATTTCCACCCCGTTGAACAGAGAAAGGTGGTCACTTTTCCAAGGTCACCCACCCTAAAGTAGGACTTCTCAATCCCAAAATGTTGTCCCTAATATGCAGATTGTTCTCCCAGCTCAGGGTGAGAGATGAGCTCTCTACAGAGAAATGCTGTGTGAATGTGGAGCTCTGGATGTCTCAGTTCTCTGCAAGGTGACCAAGAAGGACGGAAGTAACAGAGTTGGAATCTAGTCCATCTCCAAATAAGGGTCGCTGGAGGGAAGGGGTTAACAGGACTGTCAGGGCTGTTTAGAATCCAGAGAAATGAGACAGTGTCGGGCCAGTCCCCCTGGAGCCCGAGGAAGAACCCTGACCAGCCACCAGGCTCATCCCAAGCCCAGGGACAATGGGACAACATTCACCTCTAATATTCCTCGAGGTCACCCTACTCCTTCTGCTGACGCTTTAATAACAAAGCAAAACTTTTGAGAAGAATTCTGTTTTCTTTTTAACTTTAAAGGGGGAAAATGTGCTGACCAATCATCATGAGCTAGCAGGCTAGCGGTCACCCAGTCCTGGAACAGGTTATAAATTAACAAGTTGGTTTTCTGGTTAGTTAGTCCAGGTTAGTTCCCCTGTGCCTGATGAGGGGATTCAGTGTTTTGCTCTGCAAAGCTGTGCCCAGGGCACTTCATCTGAGAAGACTCCGGGACACTCTCAGAAGCACTCCTTGACCCATAACTCCTGACCAGAAGAGTCAGGACTACATGTCTGCCTGTCTGTCTGTCTGTCTGTTTAGCTAACGTGTTTGTGGGCAGAACGCCAAACCCACATCCATGGGTTCTCAGTGTAGCGCCACCTCATCAGATGACACAAAAACGTTGCACAGCTTTTGGGAGAGCGGCAGTGGGGACGTGGGCGCAGGTGGGCTGGGTCAGGCCAGAATGAGGTTAAGGACCCCCTGAAGCCACAGGGATGCGTGGAAGATGCCTCTGTCCACCCGACCGGAGGGACTCGTGGCAAAGCCGCCGGAGAAGTGTGCTGCTGGGTCTCCACTCTGCAGAGAGCTCCCTGGGCAGGGGCAGAGACAGCGCAGGGCAGGGGTCACCGGGTCTCCACGTGGACATCAGCCGGGCCGAAGGTCACCGCTGTAGGCTGCTGGCTGCTGTTGCTGTGTGGGTCCAGGGCAGAAGGGGCAGCCGGCTTGGGGCCCTTGGGCTCCAGCTCCCGCCTGATCCTCATTTTCCTGTAAAGACAGGGGCACGTGTGGCAGGGTCTTCTCCCTCCTGCGGCGGGGAATGGGCTGTGACTAGGGTGCTGGTGAAAAGGTTAGTGCAGATCATCACGAAGTCACGCGGCTTAATTGCTGACCACAGAATTTCACAACTGGAAAGGACCTCAGACATCAGCTAGTCTGAACCTTCAATTTTTTTGTTCAACTTACTTATTTAGTTTTATTGGCTTATGTTAATGAATGAGTAAGGTGTCAGACGAGTGGCTATATTCACAACAAAATGAAGATGTTACCTGTCTTTTGTTCAGAGGTGTAGTGTGAATTAAACTCTGCAGCCTCATAGGCTTGCTAAGTTTATTGCTAGAAATATGTAAATGCTTATTTTTTTTTTGTATTAGAATTGAACCTGGAGTGCTTTACCACTGAGCTAAGTCTCTAGCCCTTTTTTTAATTTTTAATTTTGAGATGGGGTCTTACTAAGTTGCTGAGGCTAGCCTCCAATTTGCAATCCTCCTGCCTCAGCCTCCCGAGTTGCTGAGATAACAGGCAAGTGCCATTCACTGTTGGGCCAAACTTAAAAGCTTTTTATGTCATTGGGAATGTATTTAAGAGGTATATCCTATCTTCGCTTCCTATGCCATAAAAGTCAATAATTAACAATTAGGAATTCTAACATTTACATGATATTTTATCTTGTTGACATAAGTGTTTTTTAAAAGTTTATATCCTCAGTGAAGTTGCACAAATATTCTAATTAGTACCCCAATGCACTTCACTGATTTACCAATTGTTAAAAAGTTATCCCATTTGGTTTCTTCTCTGATCAGTCTTTTTTCTCTCTCTCTTTGCATGTGCTCAGAGTTCTTAAAAATCATGAGCCCGAGGTAGACTGATCACATGACTTCGGTCCTTTAGGCTCCTATAAAGAACAAGGGCCTTCTCCAATATGTTCCCAACTCAACCATCCCACTCTGAGATCCTTCCATTTTAAAGATCATGGAGTGGAGACACAGGTTTTGACAGCACGAAGATGCACCCAAGCCTCCATTTCCAGCCCACACAGCAGCAGGTGGGCAGCAGGTGGTGAGTTGGGGTGTCCAACCAATGTCAATCTGGGAGAGGGACCCAGAGCTCCAGCCACAAAGGAGAGGAAGGGAGGTCGACATCGGGGTTTGACTTGATGCCACTTCTTGGTTTGGGATAGACCCGATTTCTTCACTTCCTGTTATCGTTGCTATCGTTATGGTTTGGATATGAGGTGTCCCCCCAGAGTTCCTCTGTTGCTGCAGGAATCCCCAGAGGTGACACGGCTGGATCATGAGAGCTGAAGCTAATCGGTTCGCCCTGGTGTGACTAAACGGTGTGGTGGCTGTAGGCTGGCAGAGGCAGGTCACTGGACTGTGCCCTGGAAGGGTCATCATCCCTGCAGACCCTTCCCCCTGCTCTGCCTCCCAACTGCCAGGGGGTGAGCAGCTTCCCTCTGCCACGCCCCATGGACCCAGCTGACCACGCACTGGACTTCTGAAATTTATAAACTTGAAATAAACTTTTCCTGCTCTAAGTTGTCAGGTGTTTTGGTCACAGCAACAAAAAGCTAACAGTGGTTACCACATGTAACGGTGGGCACGTTCTCTCCAAAACCAGAAGGACAGGTTTGAATCCCCCCTGGGCCCCTGAGGGCTGAGCCACCTTGAGCATGTGATGGAGCCCAGCGCCTGTTCCCACACTGAAGGGGACAAAGCCCAGGGCCCCCGTACCTGTTGTACATCTTCAGCAGGATCAGAACCACGGTGAAGATGACGATGACAACCACCACAATGGCGGCCACAATGGCTCCAGAACCTGCAGAGGGGAGAGGAGCCAAGGGGGCCACTGGCGCTCAGTCAGACGAGCAGAGGGGGAGGCGCCCTCTGCGCCAGGGAAGGGGGACACGGTCCTTCAAACCCTGTTGGTGGGGAGGTGTGTGGCCACTCTCCATGTGGCTCTGCCCTGGGATCAACAGGGAGGGACCCCGACATCCCCCTCTCGCCTCCTTGCCTAGGACACCAATTTATATTTGAATTTAATGTAAACAAAGATAATATTTTAGTGTAGGTCTTTGCCAGGCAAAATTGGAGACTTACTTATACCAAATATTTGCTTATTATTTGTCCAAAGGTCTCATTTAAATGCGAATTCCAAAGTTTATCCAGTAACCCTACCACCAAAGGTCAGTTGGCAATGTTGGGCAGCTGTCACAACTTGGGAGCAGGGGACAGACGAAGGAATTGTGACTAGCACCTAGAGGGTGGAGGTCAGGAATAATGAGAACCATCTTACGAAGCACAAGACAGCTCCTCACAGCAGAGACTATCCAGCAGAGGTTGAAAACCTTAATGAAAGTCTCCACACGAGACTCCACAGGGAGGGGAGGGCCACGTTGTCCTGTGGAGGGTGGCTGGCCTGCTCCTCCTCAGTCCCCTTCTGCTCTTTCTTCCTATGAATATTTGTACATGATTTTTGCTTTGTTTTGACTTTAGTAAACCTTTTGGAAAAGCATGATGTACATTCACAAAAGTACAAATCATAAGCTGGGGGAATTTTCAGAGTACACACACGTGTGAAAAGAGCCACCCTGTCAAGACAGACCAGGATCCTGGGAGGCCTGGCGGATAGATTTTTCAGATATAGGATTACCAAGTTATTTTTAAAAATTAATGGAGATTTAATATGCACATACATGGTCTCATTGGTAATGTAGACACAGGGAGATGACCCGTGGTTCTTAGGTCAATGAGGTCTTTTTCCTCCTCCATTTTAGCTTGTATTTATAATTTCAAAATTATCTACAAAAAAAATCACATTACTTTTGTATTATTGAAACAAGGAGAGGGTGTTTTGCTGTCCGTATCACAGGAAATGTTTGAAGCTGTGCTGGGGCTTCTAAGAATACACTAAGGGGCTGGGGTTGTGGCTTAGAGTGTCAGAGCGCTTGCCTAGCATGTGTGAGGCGCTGGGTTCGATCCTCAGCACCACATAAAAATAAACAATAAAGGTATTGTGTCCACCTGCAACTAAAATATATATATTAACAACAACAACAACAAAAGAATAGACTTGGCTTTGGCAGAGTTTGGAGAAGAGACAGTGACGTTCTGGATCACTCCTTGGTGACCCCAGGGCAGAGTCATATTGCGAGTGGCCATGCCCCAATCCCCCCAGCCCCAACAAGGCTTGAAGGACCACGTCCTTTTAGTTAAGAAAAAACAGGAGCATGCCCATCTGACCTAGTGTCACTCTCTCTACTTCCCTTAGGGATTGTAGAGAGGGCTCGGCAGGCCTGCCCACCCAGCAAGTAGCAGGATAACTTGGGGGACCCCACCCTGAGAGCGACTCCTTCTGGGTCTCCAAGGAAGAGACGCAGCCTGTCATTCATCCAGCCGCCTGCAGGTACCACAGCCTGAAGCTGTCACTGGGGAAAACTGTACTTTTGTGTGGGGAAGGTTGTCCCTTAGGTGGAGGTGTGAACAGTTATACACACAGCCAACTGAGGTGGCTGAGAGGGTCCCCTGCTTCTCCTTATATAATCAGTTGGTTTTCTGAAAGAGCTATCTTCAAATTTTTCATTCTGGGGACCCCTTGTTCCTGGCAAGTATCTCCCCAAGTATGTCCTCCTCCATTAATTTACTCCCTTATGAGTTGATGGGATTTTTTGGTGGGGGTACCAGGGATTGTACTCAGGTTCATTCGATCACTGAGCCACATCCTAGCCCTATTTTGTAATTATTTAGAGACAAGGCCTCCTGAATTGCTTAGTGCCTTGCTTTTGCTGAGGCTGGCTTTGAACTTGCAATCCTCCTGTCTCAGCCTCCCGAGCTGTGGGGATTATAGGTGTATGCTATTGCACCAGAGGCTGTTCTAAACTTTTATGTGGATTATCTGTTTGAGTCCTTATAACACCCGTGTGTGGCAGCTTCATTAATATCCCCATCTTACTGATGAAACTAAGGCCCCAGTCAGAGGTTGTGTGCCCAGGTCACACAGCCGGCCAGGGGTAGGCAGGGACTGAGACCCGGCACTCCATCTCCAGAGCCCATGCTCTGGACTTCTGCACCAGGAGCTGGCCTGGCACTGGCCACCCAGCCCTCCCCAGCCTTCATGCCAAGGTGGCCTTACTCTTGTACAGGAAGTCTTCTCCCCTGGTGGTCATGTTCAAGAAGAAGGTGGCATCTCCCAGAGTGGTGGCTGTGGTCATCTCGATCCTGGTGAGAACAAAGAAGAAATTTTGCTTAAAACCCGAATAAGCCATATTATTTCTTTTAGTCTTTATCTGGGCGACTGTAGAATATTCCAGCATGCAGATTCTTTTTTGACAGCCAATGAACCCAGGGCACATCACTAGACACCCCCTGGGGGTGTTGAAAATGATACATAGGATTCCTAAAGAGTTTCATTCTTCCAAGAAGTTTCAATTCACTCAATGATGTTCATTCAACTCCTTCTGTGCTTCAAAATATCTAAATTGATCTTCTAGAAACCCTGTGAGGTAAATTATTGTTGCTATTTTACTGATGAAACTGAAGCCCTCATAGTTATATGGAGCCCAAATTTACCCAGTGGTATTGAACCTGGGGTGTCGACCTCCATTCCATCAGGCCTTTCTTCACCCCACAATAAGGACTGAAATGGTGCTTTTGCATTTAGGTTTTTTTTTTTTTTTTTTTTTTGGTACCAGGTTTTGAACCCAGGGTTGCTTAACCATTGAGCCACATCCTCAAAGTCCCCCCCTCCAACACACACTTTTTTTAACTTTTTATTTTTGTGATAGTATTGTGTTGGGTTGCTTAGGGCAATTAACTTGCTAAATTGCTGAAGCTGGCTTTGAACTTGAGATCCTCCTGCCTCAGCCTCTCGAGTCTCTGGATTATAGGTGTGTACCACCAGGCCTGACAGAAGTTTTAATACCTAAGGAAGAATAAAAGAAGAGAGGAAGAAAGGTGAAAACTTTAGCTCCGGTTAAGTTGTCAGTCATATAAACCATTGGCAGTGGAAAGCAATTTACTGGACAAGATGTATTTGAACAAGCCTTGAAGGCTGGCATAATTTGAGGACCAGAGGAGAAAGAATAAAGGTGAGAAAACCCTTAATGGGAAGAGAGAGATTGAATTTTGACCATCTGCCCTGCAAGAGTGTCTCTGTCTTCAGCACCTCTGAACACTCACTTACCCTCTCCATCACTGGGAAGCGGCTGTCCTCCACGTTTGGCTATGGAGCAAGGGGAGGCTCAGAGTGGTAAAATGATTTTGCCAAAGTCACACAGCGAGGAAGAGACAGAACTCAGACTTAAACATACTCTTGGAGTGTACAATGTATATTGTCCCCCCTCCCCCCCTTGACACCACAATGAATCAAAATTCACAATACTAAACCGGGCGTGGTGTTTGTGCATGTAACCTTACCACTCAGGGGGCTGCGGCTGCAGGGTCACTTGAGTCCAGGAGCTTGAGATCAGCCTGGACAACACAGAGAGGCCCTGTCTCAAAAATACGAACAAAGACTCATAATCCTGTCACACTGGAGGGGTGAATCCAGAGTGTGCAGTTAATTCGATGTAACGCCACCAGAAGAAGCAGGTGAGATTCTTGACCATGAAATACAGAGCCCACAATGATAATTACAAATAATTGCTCTGAACTATAGGAATTTTAAAAAAGGGGAGGAAATAAACCAGGGTTCTTCTTTTTTTTTTTTTTTGAGACAGGGTCCTGCTACGTTTCCCAAGCTGACCTTGAACTCCTGGGCTGAACCCCTTCCTGCCTCAGCCTCCTGAGTGGCTGAAACTGCAGGCGTATATCACTGTGCCCAGGTACACATCAGTTTGGTGTTTGTTTGTTTGTTTGTTTTTTTGGTACTGGGGATTGAACTCAACCACTGAACCACATCCCCAGTCTTATTTTGTATTTTATTTAGAGACAGGGTCTCTTGAGTTGCTTAGCACCTTGCTTTTGCTGAGGCTGGCTTTGAACTTGCAATCCTCCTGCCTCAGCCTCCTGAGCCACTGAGATTACAGGTGTGTGCAGCTGCACCCGGCTACAAATCAGTTTTTTTGTTTTATTTTTAAATATTTTTAGTTGTAGATGGACACAAAACCTTTATTTTATGTGTTTAGTTTTATGTGCTGCTGAGGCTCAAACCCAGTGCTCACATGTGCCAGGCAAATGCTCTACCACTGAGCCACAACCCCAGCTCCCCCATCTCTTTTTAAAAATTTTTATTTTGAGACAGGCTGGTGCCCACCTGGAGCTCCTCCTGCCTGGGAGTACAGATATGTGCCTCCACGCTGAGCAGAAGTATTTTCTAAATTACAAAGATTAATATAATAGGATCCCATGTACTCACCATTCAGATTTAACAAATATTTATAGTTCCCATTTTCTTCAGTTCTTTTCAGATTTCAACAAAATTGAGATGAAGTTGAAGTACCTTTTCTATCTCAATCTCATTTTCTCCTTTCCCCAAGAAACTGTGACCTTGACCATTAGGGATATTCCCATCAAAAAAGCATAGTGTTTTCCACCTACGTATCTATCCTTCACCATTCTGCACAGCAGGGCTCTGCACACTTACTAGATGAAGGTCAAGCACAGAAGCCACCATCTGAGCACCTCCACCTGCCGCTATGCCAGGAGCTGGGGAGACGCTAGTGAAATCCACTCCTTGCCTTGGGAAATTCAATCCTGGGCTGGGTGGGGAAGAGAGTGTCCGTTGGGTTTGCTTGGATCACTCTGGGCCTCAAGAAAAGACCTTCTGGTGGGGGGCTGTGGCTGTGGCTCAGTGGCAGAGCGCTTCCCTAGCACGCGTGAGGCCCTGGATTCGATCCTCAGCACCACATAGAAATAAATAAATAAAATAAAGGCATTGTGTCCAACTACAACTAAAAAATAAATATTAAAACAAAAAAAGGAAAGACCTTCCCACCTGCGCATGCACCTACACCTGGCACAGAAAGCACTTCTGGGCTTCCCATCCTATTTCCAGCTTCTTGGCTCTGACACCAGGCTCTGCTGAAGGGCTGTGACGGTGGAGATGCCATCAGTCACTGTGACAATGGACCACGCCATCTCCCTGGCATGGCTGGGCTGCTGTCCGGGGCTGGGCACCTCCGGCTCCCCCCATGCCCCACAGTGGGCCTCCCTGAGAATCCCGGCCACTGGGTGCCAGCTCCCCACTCTCCCAGCTCTGATGGAAACAGGGGTCAGCCTTCTACTGCCCGCATCCACTGGGTCAGGCCATTTGCTCCCAGCCTGGGGACTCTGGTGACTGTGGCCTGCCCTGGGGGCCTGGCAGCTTCACAATGGCCCCCTGCTGCCAGGCCCCCCAGATCCACAGGAAGGGTTCTGCCTTCACCTGCAAGTCCAGTCTGTCTGTCTGTCCCTCTCCTCGAGGACCTAATCCTCAGATGCCCACCAGGAAACCCCGAGGGGCTCTGCCTGGGCCCCACACCCACCAACCTGTCTTCCCACCTGGCCTTCTGGTCTCCCAGTGCCTTAAACAGGCCCAGCCAGCCATGCCCCGGGGCCAGCGCCCTGGGAGGACGCCCACCCCCAGAGCTGAGCAGCCCTGTCCTCTCCTCCCACAGCTGCGCTGCTCTGCGAGAACCACCTCCAAGCCTGTGTCGCAGTCGCTCGTCTTGCATCGCAGTGGACATTAGTAAATATCTGCTGAGCTAATTAAGATGGGGATCTGGAGCCCACCTCAGGGAGAGACCCGCTCTCACCGACAGCCGTCCACCCCAGCGGGCAAAGGGTGTTAGCGCGCATGTGCTAAACCTTCTGCTTCTACCCTCCACAGCATCAAGCAGAGAAGACTCGCCATTGATGCTTTCTTACAATTCCTTCCAAAAACAGAAATGCAAACAGGTGGCCCCTGATCAAGGGTCACTCTGGGAGAGAGACGTGGCACAATCACTGGATAACCCAAACTGTGCCTGTGGAAACATCCACGGGAAAACCAACACGCCACAAAGGACAGAAGCCACCACCTGAGCACCTGCCACAGCCAAGACCTTGTGCCAGGTGTTTCTTATCCATGCAGTAATTGTGAGAGCTGGGGATGGAGCCCCGGGCATCTACCACCAAGCTACACCCCTGGCCCTTTTAATTGTTTTTGAGATAGGGTCTCTCTAAGCTGTCCAGTCTGGCCATGGACTTGTGATCCTCCTGCCTCAGCATCTGGAGTTGCTGGAATTACAGGTGTGTACTACCACCCCTGGCCTTTCCCCTTGTTTCAGCTGAGGACCCCAAGACCCAGGGCTATAAAGCTTACTCTCCATGCTTATATAGTTTGGAAGCTGCAGAGCTGGGGTATGAACCTGGCCTTGCAAAGCCTGGGTCCCCCCACCACCCTGCCCCTGATATGCACACAGCGGGGTCCATTAGTAGTCACTGAATACACACACACACACACACACACACACACTGACCCGCAATGCAGCCTCCTAGGCCACAGGACAGAGACTCCTTTGCAGGTCCTTTAGGGGCGACCTCCTGGGCACCAACTTCCAGGTGCAGACTCTCTCTCGAATGGGCCCAGTTCCTCCTCTTTCTGGGAGAACAGTGAGCAATCCCGGAGCAGATCTTGCCTCATCTCGGGACCTAAGGCTCTCAATTACATCTCTGTTCCTGCCACATCAGAGAAGGTGGGAGGGGGGTGGTGGAACATCCATGGCCAAGGACGTGGGTGTTTTCATGTGTGGGACCTCAGCGACTGTTGCCAACCAAGTTAAGTCCAGCAGGGGAATTTTAGAATCAAGTGTGGCTGAGATCAGGGTCCATGGTCACAGAAAACAGGGAGGGGGAGGCCGTTTTCACTGACAGAGGCTAAGTTAATGATAATAATGTATTTATTATGTGACAGGTGCTACACCTTACATGCAAACTCTCATTTAATGCTCAAACCTATCCAGTAACGAGGGCACAATCATTGTGTTCCTGCTACAGATGGGGGCACTGAGGCTCAGTGCAGAGAAGATATCCCCCTAAGTCCACAAGGCTAATATGAAAGCCCTGGTGGGACTCAGGTGGGGTCTGATTTCGCAGCATCTTCTCCATCGATCCTCACTGGGCTGCCTCCGGGGAATGCATGAGGTAGAGATGCCCTGAATCAACGTGGGGCCTTGGCAAGAAAACCCCACTCAGGTTAGAGTTCAGCCAAGAGTCATGGCCCTTGTCCTGGGCCCCTGACCTTGACTATGACCTGACTGGAGCTGGTACTTGGCCACACTCTGGACTCTGCCTTCAGCTGAGCCTTAAGCACATTTACAGAATCTGCAAGGAACTCTTGTTCCGGGGGTTGTTGACAAATGGCCTTGTGTGGGAGGTCAGTTTGGGAAGCAGTGGAGGGTCATGAATGTTTACTTGTTGACTCATTCCTCGAGTACAAGAGCCATCTGGGAAATCAATGCTGCCAGACCCCCTCTCCAAAGTACCTTGCTAGGGCTCCCCTCTCACTTTGGCTTGCCTTACAAGTTCCTGTCTGGGTATGACAACAAGGACATTGCCAACCCCAGCAGACACCCCCACAAAGTACCAACTGCAATTCAAGAGCAGGTGACCCATGAAGGCCCTCGACCTGCCAGAACATTGGGGTGGACTTCTGCTAGTCACCTGAGAGATGCGAGGTACCTGCCTTGATCTTCCCCATACACCAGATCCTCACTGCTCCCCAAGTGGCCCCTTGAGCTGTTGGATGCTTCATCAGAAAACTGACCTTCATGTTGGCACCTCGTGATTTTTAAAAATTCAACAGTGACATTTTATTTTTCTGAAGTTTATCACTTTTACAAAGCAAAAAGCAGGTATTAATCCAGCAGAACTGATAAAAGTTCTGTGCCAGCGTTCACAGAAGTCAGTGATTAGGACACTGGTAACCAGTGTAAACACTAAACACTTTGATGCCTTATGATTTTCACCCATTGGTCCCAATTCTCTTTTTCCATCTCTTCTACATGACAACCTGTCAGTCTCCAGAGCACTTCTCTGTGGGGAAGGTTGAACTTGCTTGGATGTTAATTAGGACGGCTGATATCAGCCCGGCAATTCTACCTCCCACCAGTAGGTGGCGGAAGCAGTTGGTTGTAGGGTGGTAAATGTCCTGTTGAGCCCAAGCTTGCTAAAGTGAGGGGTTTTCTGTCTCTTCAAAAACAGCAATTGTAGTTTTTCTTCTCTGTCATAAATAGTCCCAGCTCCTCAAACAACTCATTGACAATAGTGTCCTTCAGGGGTCCCTCATTCTTCTATTCAACATCTCCCTTAAATACGGTAAACGGTACGCATGACGTCAGAGGGAGCCTGACATGTTCAGAATGACATTTCTCTTGAGACTTCTCAGACCTGAGTGTGAACTCTGCTGCTTACTAGCTGCATGTCCTAGGTCAGCTTTTTTCATCTCTCGATTTTCTGATCTGTAAAATAGGAATTACAATAGTCACAACCCCACAGGGACATCATCTGTGGCTGTCACACTGGGTTAATATGAATAGCCCATCAGCCACCCCAGAGCACTGCTCATCTGCGCCCCGTTGACCACCCTGAAACCCTTTTTCAGACTTACACTTGCTTATGAGCAAACAAAGCCCTAAGGTCTGCAAGTAAAGGGAGCTTCTTAGACGGCAAAGTGCTCTGGAAATTCAAGGCAAAGAGCAGCATCATGGGTGGTGACAGTATTATGAGGAGCTGTTGTCCGGTGACCAGGACTCCATTCTATACTTGTGGAAATGGCTTTGGGAAGTCTAAGTGCAGGACTTTCCATTGGCCTTCGTTGGCCTTCGCCTTGCTGATTTGGTCCCTCTGGAGTGAAATTCCAGCTCCTCCTGGGAGGCTCTTGAGAACAGTGTGGTGGCAGTTCCCATGTGGCAGTGTGGTCACAGAACACATTGTGGAGGAGCTTGTGACCCAGTGAGGGCTTTGGGGTCAGGAAGACCTGGGTTCTAATCTTGGCCTGACCAGTGACCAGCTCCATGAGCCTCTTCTCCAGGACTCCGGTTTTCATCTGGAAACTGGGTTAACGTGCCCTGCCTCCTCCTGGGGTGCTGAGAACCCATGAGCGGCCACCACTGGCCAGCACAGTGCCTGGGGGGTAGTGGCTGACGGGTCAGGGTCTGTTGCCTGTGCCCCTTCTCCTCTGACTCCCGTCTGAGTGCTCCCTGCTCTTCCTGGGAGCTCCCTGTTCTCCATCTGGTTATGCACATAAACAGGTATAGACCTGTTTTGGTGAGGTGTCCCGGGAGGGGCTCTGAGGCAGCGTTCACCAGGGCTTCCAGAAGCTCTGAATTTCCTCTCTTCCACTGAGGACAGAGGCAGAGCCAATCGTGACGCTCCCCCAGGGAGGCAGGAAATCCCACGGGGAGTTGCAGGGCCCAGGAGCTGCTGGCTGGCGGGGGAGGAGCAAGCAGCAGATTTATGACTTGGGATGAGACTCAGGTGGCCAGGATTCCGTTTGCCACCCACCTGCCATGTGACCCTGAAAGGCCTCCTCCTCCTGGACCTTGGGTTTGCTGTCTGCAGAATGGCCCAGTGTAGAGATAATCTTGAAGGACCTTTCCAATCTGTGGTTCTCTGGCTCAGAGCCGCCATTCATAGCTTAACTCGAGAACCACTGTTTCCCAAGAGTTATGCTTCTGTGTGTCGACCCCGGCTGCTAAGAGAGGGGAGCCAGCGGGAGCAGATCAACCTGGAAGGCAGGAAACCTTCCCGGAAGGCAGTGGACACTAGAGCAACCTGAGCACTTCCCAGGGGGTTTTGAGTAGGCAACAGAGTGCCTTGGAGTCCTTAGGAATGAATCTCCAAGTCTACTGGGGGCAGAGTACCACGCTGCCCAAATCCGACACGCCATTCCCTGTCCATAGCTGTGGGGTCTCACACCACCTCATCCACACCCCCATCTGTCCTGTTTGTTTGGGGCTCTGTCCCAATGTGTGTCAGAACTTTCAAAGTTGAAGTCTGAATTCTGCTGACTGCCCTTGAACTTGAGTCAAGCCAGACACAACTGGATGCAGAATAATGTTCCTATGGCTGGTTCTCAGAAATCAGGCAGCACATGTTACGCTCCATGTACCCACCGTGCTTTCCTCCTCCCATCCTGATGCCCCACCCACCACCGTCCATCCTCCCACCTGTCCTGCCTTGTCATTCATTCAGCCGGTGTCCGCCACATGCTCAGCACCACGAGGATTGGGGGGCTCAGTCAGAGAGGAGGAGCAAGGGAGCAGTTTCCTTCCAGAATCTTTCCCTCCGTCAGTCTTTACCGGACATCTTCCTCCCCATGCCGGCCCAGCTCTGATCACGGAGATGGGACGATTAATATTCTAGTGAAGAACTGTGGGAAGGAGAAGGGGTTCTGGAAGTCTCGGTTCCAGGCCCGCCTCATCTCAGAGGACTTGTTGACTTGCTCGGTTTTAGATGATGCTTGAATATCCTTCGTTTCTCTGATTTTGTGGCTCACGTCGTGAGGAGAGGGAATGACAAGGCAGGACAGGTGGGAGGATGGACGGGATCTTGGTTGGCTCCTGCTCTCAGGTTCTCTCCTGATACAGCCAGTGCCAGCCGCCCCTGCTGATGTCAGATCCAACTCAGTGGCTGAGAGCTTGTCTAGGTGGGCAAGGCCCTGGGTTTCTTCCCCAGCACCAGGAAAAGAATGAAGCAGGGGTCCACAAATCTCAGGTTCAGAGAAGACCCCAAGTCCTACACAGTAGGCCAAAGGTGTCCACGTCCCCGTCCCTGCAGCCTGGGAATACGTTAGTTTATAAGGCAGAAGGGACTTTGCAGATGTGATTCATTTAAGCATTTGAGATGGGGACATGACCCTGGATTGATAGAATCACAAAGGTCCTTGTAAGAGGGTGGTCTGAGCGTCCGAGAGACGAGATGTGATGGTGGAAGCCGCGTTCAGACAGAGGGGAAGGTGTTTTCCTGCTGGTCGGACGCGACCGAGGAAGGAGCAGAGTGGGGCAGGCAGGAAACAGGTTGTCCCCCAGAGCCTCCTGAAGAGGGGACCCAACCCTAACCCGCCCTGTGGACCCTGACTTTAGCCCACTGAGACTGCCTTTAGACATACGACCTCTAACTATACTGTACAAAAAAAAAAGTGTGTTGTTTTAAGCCACTAAATTTGGAGGCCTTTGTTAGAGCAGCAATAGGAAGTTGATTTATCCTAGCTTTGGCATAGGTTAGCACACACACTTCAGGCAAGTTACCTAACTGTCTGAGCATCCGTTCCTTATCTGTAAAATAAGGAAATATCTGTGGAAAAATATATATATATTTATATATATAAATATATATAAGCTCTGAATTTCCTCTCTTCCACTGAGGACAGAGGCAGAGCCAATCGTGACGCTCCCGGAGCAGTTTCCTTCCAGAATCTTTCCCTCCGTCAGATCCCGGGCCCTGGCCAGCTGGGGCAGGGTGTGGGCACGGCTCGGGAGGCCCCTGGGCAGGCAAACTTCTTCTGGGCCCGGTACCTGTCCTGTAACCTAACTTCACATACCCCACCCCCACCCCCGTTCCTCTGCCCTGAGGTTGGGATCCCCTCCCCTCCCTGGTCCCTGACAGGACCTTCCCCCTTTGCTGAGGGGAAGACACTTCCTTTCCTAGAGGTGGCCTCCACCTGGATGAAACCTTTCGCACCAGGGACGGCATTTGGGGCCTTGCTGTCTGCAACGCCCTGTGCGTCTTTTCCCAGGAAGCTCCGGAGGGTGTACTCCCTACAGGAGGGAGCAGAGAGAGGCGCCGGGGATGGGGGACTGGGGCCCCAACAGGAAGGAGGGACGTGGTGCCCCGGGCTGCCCACCTGGGGGCAGTCACTCTGAGGGAGGGGCGGGATCCGGGAACTCCACCAGGCAAGAAAGAGGAGAGCGGTGGATTTGCGTGTCTGTGCAGACGGAGAAGTGACCTGCCTTCCTGTTGGCATGTGTGTGTGTGGGGGGGACCACTCAGACAGAAAAACAAGCTCCCCAAGGACTTGGGGGACAAAATTCCTCCCTCCTACTAGAGCCTCACCCCTGGTTCTCTTCACCACTCCCACCTCCATCATGGCCCCAGGATGCAGCTCCTGGTCATCACAGTGTGTGGTACCCAGTCTGAAAACCAGAGTCCACTGCCCTCTGCCTACTAATGGGGACACCGAGGGTCAGTGATGCACCCAGGGCCACGCAGGGAGGAGGTTTATCTGCGACATTTTTGAGAGTTCCTTCTGATTAATTTAAAACAAGATCAGTGGGAGGCTGAGGCAGGAGGGTCACCATTTTGAGGCCAACCTCAGCGACTTAGCAGGACCCTATCTCAACAGGCCGGGAGGTGTAGCTCCGAGGTCGAGTGCTCACCTGGCGTGTGCAAGGCCCAGGGTTCAAGCCTTGGCACTGAGGTTTCTGAGTTACTCTGTCACCTATTACGGAGATGTAATTGAGTTTTCCCAGACGACGGCCAGCAAGCTCCTTGGGGAGCTTTTATTTATCTATTTTTAAATAACCAAGGTCAAGTCGGACGTGGTGGACCACATCTGTAATCCCAGTGACTCAGGAGGCTGAGGCAGGAGCATCCCAAGTTCAAAGCCAGCCTCAGCCTGGCTGAGGCCCTAAGCAACTCAGTGAGACCCTGTCTCAAAATAAAAACACAATACAATAAATTAAAAAGTAAAAATAAAAACAGGCTGGGGATGTAACTCAGTGGTAAAGCACCCCTGAGTTTAATCCCCAGACCCCCCCCCCTCACAAAAAAAAACCAAGGCCAATGTCCTCTTGCAAGTTCAAAAACCCTAAGTTTTTCCTGTAACAGACTTTCCAGTGGTCTCGCTTTTGATTTTTCTGCCTTCCCACTGCCTTCTCCAAGGGCCAGGCCAACCTCCAAGTGTTTGTTATTCAGGGTTAAGGATAAAGATGCCCCCTGGAGTATCTGCATCGGAATCAGGAATTCTAGGAAACCCACAGTCCACAACCTTGAGGTGACAGTCCTTCTTGGAGCCCGAGTGTCCTGGTCTCCGGACCTCATCACCTTCCTGATGAACAGGGCGGCCTTGGAAGCTCAATGGAGAGACCTGATGGGGGCGAGAACCCTGGCCTGGAAGTGAGGAGCCCTGGACTTGAGTCTCATGCCTGTGCCTTGATTGCTGTGTGACCTTGTGCAACTTACTCATTCTCTCTGGTCTGCAGCTTGCTCTCTGCAAAACCGACAGCTGGGACCCAGTGACCTCCCTCTTAGACTCCTTTCATCCTGTGACCTGGAGCCTCCGGTGTGACTCAGGATGGCCCGGCCCTCCGTGCCACGTGCTCGGCCCCGAGGCCCTCCATCCCTCCATCCTTCCATCCCTCCATCCCGGCAGGCGCTCCCCTCCCTCGTCCTGCCCACGGCGGGGCCTGGCAGGCGCGGGGCTGCTGTGGCAGGAGCCGGGGTGAGGAACAATCCCAGCCCTTCAGGCTGCGTGGCAGGAGCTGGCAGCCGGCCAGGCACAATAGCCCCGAGGTACAGAGGGGCGTTTGTCTGGGGACCCACAGCTTCATGGAACCCTGCCCTCAGCCTCCCCTTCCCCCCACCCTCTCAGACGGCAGTGCCGCCCCAGCCTGGTCGTGAGATGGGACAGGGCCGCTGCTCAGCCCTGAGCAGCCTGCGGTGGCCTGGGAGCTGGGAGGCCGGAAAAGACAAGGGGGTGGCAGGAAGGCAGGGAGCCCCGAGTGGGGCCAGGGGGACCCCAGACAGGGGGGAGGGGCAGACGCTGCAGGGACAGGGCAGGGGCTGTAGAGAGAGGGACAGGGACGGGCCCTGAGCCCTCACTGACTAGTGAAGAGACTGTGGGCCGGGGCTTCCTCCTCGCTGGGCCTCAGTTTCCTCAGCTGTAAAATGGGGTGACTGTCCTGCCCTGATGTTCTGAGGACTCCACTAAATAAAATCGGGGCTCGTGACGGCCGTGGGGCGTCAGGGAGAGCAAGGGTGGACCCAGGAGTCGGGTCCAAAGGCACCTCGACACCCCTGAACTCACTCTTGGGGACAGACCATTCACACTCCTCGTTGTCCTCTGGACTGAGTAAGAAAGGCTGGAGGCGCCCTGCCTGGTGCCTGGCGAAGGCCGGAGGACTCGGCCACGGCCACACCCTGATCCTCGTGGACCCTCTATTACCATACATTTTTGTGGTCTCTATTTTTTTCCAATATGAGGGAAAAAGAACTGAAACATTTTCTTCCACCTTCAAAGGACCCCTCTCCCCAATTTTAAGAGCCGCCAAACCCTCCTTGGGGTCCTCCAGAGTAAGCCTTGTCTGCTGTGCCCAGGGGCTCTGGCCTTGCTTCGGAGTTCTCTGGGTCCTCACCGGCCCTGGGCAGTGTCGCCAAGTTCCGCTGGACGCCAGGAACCTCGTCTCTGAGGAATCCACCTTGGGCTCAGGGTCCCGCGACGCCGGTGCCCCCCACTGCACAGAGCTGAGCTCAGGGGCCCTGTTAGTGCCACCCCTCCTAGTTTCAATGTGGCTGAGCCCTGTCCCCAGAGGCAGGTGGGACCCCAGAGAACCTCGGGTCTGGGAGAGTCCAGGTGAGCCCCATGGCGAGGGGCGGGTGTGTGGCTGGGCCGGACTCTTCAGGAACCAGGGTGGTGGGTGGTGAGCCTCTGGCGCCCTGCTGTGCTTGTCCCTTTGTCACGGCCTCTGTGCCAGCAGAGGTGCTTGGGCCTTCACGCTCGTGGTCCCAGTGAATCCTCATGGCACACCATTCTGCTTCACACCCAAGGAGACAGGCCCAGAGAGGCTGGGTAACCCGTCCAGAGTCACAGAGCCACCAGGGCAGGATGGGACCCGTCTCCTGTTCCCCACAGCCCTCCCTCCCCCCTCCTTAAAGTGTTGGGGGAGGGTGGGGGGACTTTCAGGGCCAGTAGACACCGAGGAAAGTGAGGGGCGGGTGCAGGAAGGAGGTTCTGGAGGACGTGCAGGTGCGCAAGGCGCCGTGCTCCCGGGGCCACCCTTGTCCTCCCAGGTGAGGGTCTGAGCAGCGGCAGGGCCGCTGCTGGTATGTGGGCCTCCCTGTCTGGGGGACGTGCCAGGTGGGGCTGTCGCTGAACAGGCGAGAGGTCCTCTCCCCCTTGCCAAGCTGCTCAGAGCCAGTTCTGTTTACCCAGAAACCAGAGCGGGCGCAGGGCTCAGCCCAAACCGGCCCCCTTCAGGGCCCACAGAGGAAGGAGTGGCGGAGGCCAGGCCGGGCCTCAGGCTCAGAGGGAGGAGGGGGAGTGCTAGTTCCAGCCCATCTCTGTCCCCAGATCACTCACTGGCTGGGTGGGTGCTGCACCCTCCGTGTGACCCATCCGCCCAGGGGAGGACGGAGAAGGACCCACTGCAAACCTACCAGCTGCGCCGAGCCCACCCTGAGAGCCCTTAGGTGAGAAGAGTGGCCGGGGTTAATCGAAACACCCAAACTCAGCCTGTTCCTTTTTGCTTTGGGAATGTGGTCCCGAGAGCTTTTAAGTGGCACCTGTGGCCCATATTATGCAGAAGGGCACTGACGGACACTCTGCCCTTCCTCGGCTGCCTCCCCACCAACACGCACACATTCATTTGTTCAGTGCGCTCAGGGAATATTCATGAGCTGGAGAGCGTTAAACACGGGAGACAGAAGGAAAGGATCCCTGTGGCCTTTGAGCCACAGGAGCTTCTGAACTCTGCCTCAAAGATCCCTCGCGGCTTGTGTCGCGCACACCCACATCCTGAAACGCTGCCCTGCTTACTTTCACACTTACTTCTGGAAGGGCTTCCTAACCCTGTCTGCCTGGCAAACTTCTATTTATGCTTCAAAGCCCCAAAACCTTCACCCACTTCAAACACTTACGTCATCTAGGCCTTCACTAATTTTTTTTTTTAAAAGCCACTTCTTGAGGACTCCACCATCACCTCCACTCTCTCCGAGGACTCTTCCCTACTAATTTTGGGATGTCTGCAGTTTGACGATGTCATCAAGGTCATTGTCACCTCCCATCTTCCTTCCCCTCCTCCCAGGAACTCTGCCTCACTTACCCTCTTTAACTTTTTCCGCAGAAGAGCCACCGTCTGAAACCACCTAGGTTGTGACCTGTCTGTCCTCTACAGAAGCGAGGTTCTCTGCAAGGGCTCTGGTCTTCCTCCTCCCAGGGCGAGGTCCAGTGCCTGCCGCGGTTCTTGGGGCCCTGAAGGCACCTGGGATGTGCAGATGGTGGACGCTGGCAGCCGAGGGCAGGATGTGAACCACAGGCCCTGGAGCTGGATTGCGGGGTTCTAATCCCGGCCTTTTCTCAGACCCCATTGACGGTCATGGTCATCATCAAATCATGCAGTTCGCTACGGTGATCATCACAGACCTGTCCCCAGCTGCTCCAGCAGTGGCCTGAGCGCCCAGGCTGTGTCTGGGTCCTGCCATGCCCAGCACGTCTCAGAATCTGTCTTCCCATTGCAGAAATGACACTGACACCCACCTGCAGCTTCTGAAGCCAGAAACCTAAGGTCACCACTGTCACCGGCGCATCACCCCATCACCAAGCTCTTTCAGATGGATCTTCGTTTCCTACAGATGCCCTTGTCTCCCCGTCTTCCCCACCTGTCCAGTCCAGGCCTCTCAAGATCTGCACCTGGTAGCTCCCTGCAGGAGCTCAGTCTATCAGTCACTCCTGCCCCAGCCCCAGGGCCTTTGCATGTGCCAGGCCACTCTTTCCTCCCCCACTGATTTCTCTGATGCTTTAGTCACATCAAATCTCCACACCGTGCCCTGTCACAGGGCTGTTTCCCCTGCTGGCCACTGGTGGTAGTCAGCATCTTCCACCAGTGACAGAGCCCCACCCAGGACTCTGAAGCAGGAGCGTCAAGGGTGCTATTAAGCCCTCCAGCCCCAGTGCCTTGAGCACCACGTGGCACATCATGGGGGGTTGCTCTGTGTCCCACGAACGAAATGAATTCCCAGCTACGCGAGTGAGCGGAGGGTGCTCAAAAATGGACCTGCAGCCCGGGCAAGGGTGGAGCCTGGGCCAGGTGTGTGCTTTCCCCTCCACACATGGCTGCCATGGTGACACCCGTGTGACACTGAGCACAAGTCAGCCCGGGGGCTGTGGACCTGGGGGGCGGCTGCCTGGGGAGCTGGAATCTGAGGGCACCGTGGTCACTGTGCTCCTGGGCTACGGGGTCACAGCGACCTGGGTCTGAGTCCCAGGGAGAAAGTAGAAGCCGCACCTGCCCAGTTCCCAGGGCCCAGCCCTGCCGAGGACTGGACTGTCCCCCCAGCAGATGCCTATTAGCGTCTAAAACTTACATGTGAGGACGCAGAGGCACCAGGGGCTAAGCTCCTATCCAAGACGACCAGCTGGGAGAGGACGTTCCTTTTCTCCAAGACCCACCTGAAGTCCCTGCCTATGTCAAGTGGCCAGCCTCCCCGAGGCCCCGCCCATCCTCCCCCAGCAGGTGCCTGGTCAGCACCGGCCCACACTCTGCTGTCCGTGGCCGCCAGACCCATCTCCTTCCTTCCTCCCTTCTTTCCTTTCCGACTGGCATTGAACCCAGGGGCGCTTGACCACAGAGCCACATCCTGGCCCTTTTCATATTTCTATTTAGAGACAGGGTCTGAGTTTCTCAGGGCCTTGCTGAGTTGCTGAGGCTGGCTTTGAACTCACGATCTTCCTGCCTCAGGATCTGACTTCAGAGTCTGGCCCACATTTTGGGGACTCGATAATCCCAGCAGCTAGGGAGGCTGAGGCAGGAGGATCGTGAGTTCACAGCCAGCCTCAGCAAAAGTGAGGCCCTAAGCAACTCAGTGAGACCCTGTCTCTAAATAAAATACAAAATAGGGCTGGGGAGGTGGCTCCGTGGTTGAGTGTCCCTGAGTTCAATCCCTGGCACCAAATAAATAAATAAAACAGACATAACGAGCACTTACTATGTGCCAAGCACCTCTCTAAAAACTTCACAAATGATTTTTATTTGAATAGTTTGTAACCCACCTCATTCCAAAAGAACTCTGTGAGGTGAGTATCAGGGTCTTCATCTTAGGGGTGAAGAAACCGAGTTTTAGAGAAGCCAAGTAACTTGTCTGGGGTCACACAGCCAGTGAAGGTGGCAGACTTGGGTGGAAATGAGGCTGAATACTCCAGAATTCAAGCTGTCACCTGTCTGCCTCACTGCCTCGGCTCAGTGAGTGAGAATCACTATTATTTACCGAGATTTTGTAGGGGGGGAAGGGAGGAGTGCCGTCCTAGCCAGGAGGACAGTGGGGAGAACACAGTCAGGAGGGGAGTGTAGGATTGGGGGGGGAGGGACAGTGAGGTCTCAGCACCGTGGAGCTGAGGGCCCAGGGAAGGCCAGAGTGTAGATGAGACCTGAGGGATAGAGTGGGAATTCAACCTCCATGGAAGGAACCAGCATGCGCTGCTCTCAAGAATCCCTACGGGATGGATTCCATGGGAGGTAGGAGTGTGAAAAGTAGGAGTGTCAGAACCTGACAGCTCTGCTGGGTGGCCTTTGGAAAGTTACTTAACCTCTCTGTGCCTCCATTTCCTGTTCCATAAAATGGAGGTAGTAACAGGCCCCCCCCCCTTCACTGGATCGTTGTCTGGGAGAAATAAAATAATAAATGTCAAGCCCCTGATGGTGTCTGGCAGAAAGCCACCATTTAACATAGTTCATTTCCCTCCCTTCCCCAAGACCTCTCCAGCTGTGCCAGAATCAAGAGTAAACTACGGTTTCAAAGCGTGTCTGAGACTGAGAAGAAAGAAGAGTTGATTTCCGTGTCGCCTCTGCGTTATATAACTGAACTTCCCAGCTCGGTGCCCGGAGAGGGGGGTGCTCAGGAGGCAGGCTGGCAGCAACAAAAATAAAGAGTTCTGCCCTCGCTGTCCCGGGCCGCGGCCGGGCAGAAGCTGGTGAGGCCTGAACTTGGCGCTGCAGGGCAGGGGACCTGGGATCCAGGCCCAACCCTTCCTGGGACATGGACATGTCACAAGCCAGCACCTGGTTAGGCACTGGGTGCCCTGGGAGGCTAGCTTCCAGCATGGCGGGGAGCCGGGGTGGGGGGGGCCTGCAATCCCCACCCCCTGCCTCCCACGCCTGTGCCCCCCAGTCCTGCCTCCTGCCTCCTCCAGACCTTGGATTTTTAAAAAAATTCTCTTGATGGGATTTGTCCCCTCTTGTGAGATGCCCTCCTTCCCTCAGCCCCTCGACCCAGGAGTAGACAGAGGGCGGGCTTTGGAATTAGACCGGGTTTGAATTCTGACAGTCTGGTCACCTTGGGCTCATGACCCCTCTAGGCCCATTTCCTCCACTGTAAACTGGGCTTTGTGACTCCTGTCTCCTTCCTTTATGTGACCACCAATGGTGCCAAATATTTAGCCTTACTGTATACACCAGGCACTGGGAGAGGATTTGCGGGCCTAAGTCCCATTCCTTTTCCTCCAAGACCCACCTGAAGTCCCTGCCTATGTCAAGTGGCCAGTCTCCCCGAGACCCCGCCCATCCTCCCACAGCAGGTGCCTGGTCAGCACCCGCCTAGGCTGTGGTGTCCGTGGCCGCCAGGTCATCTCCTTCCTCCCTCCCTCCCTTCCTTTCATACTGGCATTGAACCCAGGGGGGCTTAACCACGGAGCCACATCCGGGGCCTTTTAATATTTTAATTTAGAGACAGGGTCTGCCTGAGTTGCTTAGCGCCTTTTTTTAGAACCACACAAGCCAAACAAAACAGCCTCTCAGGAAAAACCCTCAGAGCCTCAACTGCCACCACCGGCTTCCCACAAGCCTCTCTCTCCCACACAAGCTTCTCTCCACCTCCCACAATCCTCCTGCTCTTGAGGCCGATTGGCTGGGTCACGTGGGCGGAGCCAAAAAAGTCCCCCAATGAGCAGCTCCGTGGTCTGAAAGGGCAGGGACTTCCAGCTGCCAGCAAACTTCCAGCTGCCGGCTGGTGATTGGCTCACAGCGCGCCTTGCTGTTGCTGAGGCTGGCTTTGAACTCCCGGTCCTCCTGCCTCAGCCTCCCATCCACTGGGATTTCAGGGCGTGGGCTGCCAAGCCCGGTGCCTGGCCTCTTTCCGTTGGAGGAGCTCCCTGGGGACAAACCTGCCTCAGTTACAGCCAGGCTGCCGGCACCCAGCAGGGGAAGGGGTGAGTGAAAGCTGCGGGGCGGGGGAGGGTGCGCCAACAGAGGGCGCGGTGGGCACTGGCACTGCCTGGTCCTCTGCTCTGACTCCCTGAGCTCAGGCCGCCAGCCCCCCTCAGCTCTCTGGAGCCTCCTCTGGGCCCCCGTAGCTCCTGGACCTGGATCAGGCTTTTCTAACCCAAAACTAGGATGTTCACCCTGAGGGACGGCGGCCGTGGGGACCATGCAGTGGCCAAGTGGGGAAGCTACAGGGTGACACAGTGGAGCAGCTCTGGACTTCCTAGGTTGTCCCGGTCGTGGGCTCCCTGGCCTGGCCATGCATGCAGGCTGCAGGAATCATCTCCCAAGGGCTCAGGAGGTGACGTGCTTTCTCTGCTGCGATGGGGCGGGGACATGGTCCTGTGCAGGATCAGAGGCCGAAGCAGGAGCCACTTACGGAAACGGAATCGGAATTGTTCAATTTTACCTCCCAACCAAGTCTCCCCCATGTCATAGATCGCTTCAAACGGGCTACAGAATAGAGCCCAATTCTGTCTCGGCAACCAAGGTCTCCTGAGGCTGCTGTGCCTTCTCCTTCGCTGACTTCCTCCCTCGCCCACCCAGGGCAGAACGGGGGACTTCCTGTCCCCTGGTCTCACCAGCACTTCCCCCTGCGGCCAGCTGTGGTTTCAAAAGGGCCCCACGGTGCGCCAGACCACTCCCCCAATGAGTGGCAGCGCCATCTCCCCCTCCCCTGACCTGGGTGGGCCCTGGCTGCTCAGAGCACCAGCACATGTTGGAAGTGGCGTTGGCTTTCTGGATATTGTCCCCAAGTGGCAGCCTCTGCTTCCTGCCTCAGGGGAGGTACCTGCTCTAGGTGACAGCCCCCGCGGAGCTCCCAAGTGCCCAGCGTGGTGCAAAGTCCTGGGAGGGAGCCATCATCGACCCCCAAGCTGCTGAGCCTTCAGAACATCAGGCCACAACCACAGAACCCCCTGAGCACCCCCCAGCGGATCCCAGTCAGCTGAAGGTGGCAGAGAACAGGTACCAGTCTGCACCCACCCACCCACTCCACCATGGCACCCACCACTCCTGTCAGGGCCTCTCACACCTCTGCCCTCTCCTAAAAATGGTTTGCAACAGTCACGATGGCTTTGTATTGAGATCCCTTGTTCCTTTTAAGACAGGCTTAAACTTATTCCAAAACAGAGATTTTCCTTCTTTCTCCGCCGACCCCTGCCCCTCCTCCCATTTGGGATTGAACTTGGCCTCGCACACCGAGCTGCATTCCCCAGCTCCCTAAACAGAAAATTCCTATCACTTCTCAAAATGGAAACCAGTGTCACTTGCCATTAATAGAAAGTAACAAAAGAAATCAGATGAAACAATGTCATTAAATTCCAGCCAGACAGGGCCACCTTCCAAAGTGTCTGAGCCCAGGGCTCACCGTTTCCTCTTAGAAAGCTAAGGAACAGTGCTGCAGGGACACTGGTGACACAGTCAACCAGGCCCTGAGTTCCAGGACCCGGGGTGACACACATCAGCTTTGGGATCCCCGGGTCTGGAACTGAGCCAGGTGGCCTTGGATGCAGCAGAGCTGGGCAGCCTGTGACCCCTGCTGGACTGACTTTGGCGCTCACTGGTCCCCGGATCAAGGTTCCCCGGATCAAGGTTCCCCCGGATCTGGCCGGCTCTCAGGATTTAGGAAGGCCCCCGACTTTCCAATACTGTTTTTCAAAAACTAGGTGTGTGTGTGTGTGTGTAAAATACTCTTCTTCCCAAAGTGGCGAACTCCGTTCCTGCTTCTGGCACTGAACTTGGACTTGCCACCCTACCCGTCCCCAGCTCTCGCAGCACCTCCCGGGGCTGTTTCTGTCGTTATTTCCGTATTTCCTCTGGGAGCACTCTCAATGTGGCCTTTGTGTGTCCACCTTCTGAGGCTTTATTTGCCCAAGAATATTTTTTTAATGACCTCATGTTTAAGTGACAGTTTGGCTGCCTTGGAGATGCTGGATTGAAAGGTTCTTTTCTTTCAGTCCTTTATGACATTACCTCCCCGGCTTCCTTTGTGGGGTCTTGTTAGGGAGAACTCTGTCCGTCTGAGCCTTGCTGCTGGGTCCGTGATCTGCTGTTTCTGCTCCTCCTCCTTCTCCTTCACGTTTCTAACTTTGCCATTGTGTCTCTGGGTCTTTCTTCCTCTGTTGGCTCTTGCATGGGTCCTTTCAATCTACCTTCATTCACATCCCTGTCATTTTGGAATATTTAATCTCCATTATTTCTGCAGAGCGCCAGCCAGGACAAGCGGCTTCTTCACCTTTAGGTTCCCAGGGAGAAGTGGACAGTGAGGAGGAGACACTCTCGTGAGATTCACCTGCAGGGAGGGGGTGGGGTGGAGTGGAGGAAGCTTGATGGGTGGGGGGGACGGCTGAGCTGGTGCCAGCTTTTCTCAATGGCTCAGTCCAGCAGGTCTCAGCTGACCCAGAGGACTCCGGGTCCCCAGGACCCGTTTCTCCATGAAAGAGGCAGACGGTGATGGGCTCAAGACAAGGAGCAGGGACCCAGGCAGGGAGCTTCCCTAAAGGGCAGGGAGTCAGACTCCATCAAGTTTCCACTCCTTCCATACTGACAGCTTGGGCGGGAGACCCTCTGCGCCGGCGGGTTCTGCCTCCGTGGGTTCAACCGGGGCGGATCGAAAATATTTAAAAAGTATTGCATCTGGCCAGCTGCAAAGGCAAACGCCCGTGTCAGCCTCCTGAACTGCTGGGATTCCCGTTGGCGCAGGTGTTCCAGCAGCTCAGGAGGCTGAGGCAGGAGGATCGTGAATTCTAAGCCAGCCTCAGCAAAAGCGAGGCACTAAGCAACTCAGCGAGACCCTGTCTCTAAGTAAAATACAAAATAGGGCTGGGGATGTGGCTCAGGGGTCGAGTGACCTGAGTTCAATCCCTGGTACCAAAAAAAAAAAAAAAAAAAGAATTGCATCTGAACTGAACAGACTTGTTACTTGTCACAAATCCGACACCATTTTATGTCAGGGACTTGGCAAGCTGGGGGAGGCTCTGGAGCCAATCTCCCAGGGAGGCAGAGCGTCACCTGTATGACCGAGGTACTCTGCTGGATTGGGGGGGAGTCCATGGGAAACTGGGCACAGTCCTTGCCTCCATGGAGGTCACACTCTGACAACAAACAGGACTCGACCCAAGTCCTGGCACTGCCACCTGGGAAACGGTCTTTCCAGCCTGGGTTTCTGCTGCCGATGGGCAGGGCACCTAACCGCAGGGCTCCTGAGGCTTTGGGGTGGGGACAGGGGCTGCAGGAGAAGCCCCCATGTGATTAGCATGATGCTCAGAGCCCTGAAAGCTCTTGAAAATGGGAAGCATTGTTGTTATTATGACCAGTGGCGTTATTGGGGAGGATCAGGTAGATAGGAACTTGGAGTTCTTTCTACAGGTAAATAAATTCCCTTTGATCCTAAAGGCAAACGAGTTACCCTTACGGTTCATAACTGGAGAGAAGGCTGAGGTGGGGCACCCAAAATTTCAGAGAAAGAAGACCAAATGGGCTTGGCTCACAAGAAGGTTATGATCAAAAAGCTGTAAGATCTGGGCACAGTAGTGGCACGTGCCTGTCATCCCAGCGGCTCGGGAGGCTGAGGCAGGAGGATCACGTGTTCAAAGCCAGCCTCAGCAACTTAGCAAAAAGCCTTAAGCAACTCAGTGAGACCCTGTCTCTAAATAAAATATAAAAAGGGCTGGGGCTTGTTCATTGAGCATCCCTGGGTCCAATCCCTAGTACCAAAAAATAAGATAAAATAAAAAAGCAGGGTGGGGCTGGAGACGTGGCTCAGTGTTAGAGCACTGGCCTGGTGTGCATGAGACCCTGGGTTGATTCCCAGTGGGGAGGAAAACAGAATAAGCAGCAAGGGTTGGGGGGTGCAAACCAACCAAATTCCACTTTCTAGAACAAACTATCCATACCATTAAAGGTGCTGAGATTCAGATAACCAGTCCTTTCCCAGCTCTTCTCTTTTTTCTTTCTTCCTGCCTTCC